CAAAAACTAAGTTGAATGTTTATTTTACGGGCCACAGGAGACTAACGCAGCAGACGCAATCGCCTCTTCCCGGTCGTAATGAATTGCACGAACCTGCCATACGTCGACTACATGTTATAATAAATTAACTGGTAGTCTCCAAACCCTACTTATAAACGAAAAATAAGTAGTGTAGTCGATTGTCATAGCAAATATAACTTTTCTTAATCGACTATCCCACCAAAGAATGTGATATGGGAAAACACCTGGCCTTACTTGAAATTCACATACGCCTCCGACTCGCCGATTTACACTTTGCATCAGTACTTCCCAAAACGCGGTCTTAACTATCGCTAAAGACCACTCTCGACGATATGCGTTTTCACTCATATTTACGTCTGCTGTACAACAGAAGTGATCTCTTCATTTCAACCAGACGAATGATCATTTTGTCGAGTCACAATCTGCAGGAAAATAGTGCATTTATGCCTTGTTCTCATTTGCCCTTAACGGAATATGATGAATAACGCTCTTAGACAAGAGCAGTCTAAAGCTCGAAATTTTCCATTTCCGCAATTTGATAGATACTTTGACAAAAAATAATTTATGCATTCACCCCATTTATATTAACGTGACGAAGGACTGTCAGTAGAATTTTGCCTCAATGACGTGCGTAAAGGTGACTTTTCCATTTAATTTCGCATAGTCTTACTTCTCCAAAAGTTGTTCTCATCTCTTGGGAAATTGAATAGAAATGTCAGCTCTACTCATATCAATGTGGTAAAATTAAATTACCAGTACTTTATCACCTTAAACGAAATATGGTGAATACATCTTATCTCTGCTTTTATGTGAAAAATGATAAACAATTTGTTTCTCTTTTTGTTTCCATAAGCCATTCCTTGCCTCAAAGTGGACATCGGTGCCTATCCTTTTAAGACATAGTAGGGTTCAGGAATAAAATTTGTCCCAAAAGACAGCCGGGTTGGGATGTACCAAACTTTGTATATCGCCACAATAGAATAGATTCGGTAACTGGTAGGTGGACAAACAAAATGCATACATTTGATATCCACAGTAGCTGATAGATGTACTACTTTAAAGGGATTACCTAATTATTATTATTATCATCATTATAATTCTAAGGTATGAAGATCAAGATTGTGGGGCCTTTAGCATAGTTGAGGTCTCCTTTCTTTGTAAAGAAGTGGTTTTACGTTGTTTTTGCAACTTGGTCACATTGGCAGCGAAACCTAGAGGAATTCACCTGGACGGTGACCAATGTTAATGTAAGATCGTGGACTTGTCTCATTGGCGAGTTGTAGTGGGGTGCTGCGAATAGCAAGACTCACTGACGATGCTTGCGAAACGTCTGGGAAAGTACCACGTCCACGGTCAAACTTTGGAAATGATGATGCCTACAATCGACTCCAGACTAGATGCGTTCCTCTAAGTCTTCCAATTAATAGGACCAAGTTGTGATAACAAGGTGAAACAACTTGTATACAACGAAAGGAGACTGTGACCACACAAAGGGCCACACCATCTTGGTCTTCATACTTTCGATTAAACTATGGAAGTAAGATTGCAAAACAACGCGTCGACTACAGCCGGACTAAGAAGACAATTGTAAGTCAATCGTACCATTTGACCTTTTTGAATTGTTTCAAACATTATGGTATAGCTCCCCGATTCTGCAATCCGGACACAGAAAATGAAACACTTTATCACAACTTTATCCAGAAATTAGAGGAAAGTTACGAGACTGAGAGGCGTAAGCTATTTAAGTTCTAGATTTAAGTCTAGATTAGGGAAGGATCTAGGCAGGGTTCTCGCTCTGGATGATTAAAAAAAACTCCAGAATATGATTTATCAGAAGTCACAGATGGTCCGGGATCTGATAAATAAGCGACATGACCAGAAATTGCTTGGCTATGGAATAATAAGACAACGCAAGACCAAGCCAACCCAAGCAAATTATGATGGTTCTGTATTGAAGGCATCAACTGCTACAGACGACGATAGGACAAAGGTAGTAAACCTATCTTCAATCCCTC